TTTGTGATGGTGATGATAATGATGATGATGATGATGATGATGATGATGGTGATGGTGATGGTGATGCTGATGATTGAGATTATGATAATGATGACGATGATGATGACGATGATGATGATGGTGATAATGATAACAATAATGATGATGATGATGACGATGATGATTATGATGATGATGATGATGATGATGATGATGATGAGGTGGGGGAGGAGGATAATGCTGAGAAAATGGGAAATGATGATGATGACGACGAGGAGGATGAGGGAAGGATGATGATGAGGAGAAGGAGGAGAAACTAACAAATCTGTTACCTCAGACATGCGTCCTCCATCCCACGACGTGAGGTGGAGAGGGCATCAATCAGCAACCAGGTTTAATAAACTAACGGTTGAAGCATACCAAAAACCGCTGGTGGCGAACTAAGGCTCGGCTTAAAGTGGGCAAGCAACACAATCGATCTGGCATCGTTGCTTTTCCACATTGCTGAGGGGAAAACGTGAAATCCCACCAGCCCTTTGGGCGTGAGTGGTTTAGCTAGCTTTCTCTGTCCCCAACCCCCCAACCCCCCTTCTTCCCCTTCGGGGAGGGGTTTACCCCTCCCCCTACCCCCTCCCCCTGGACCTGGAGAGGGGGCCCCGCGGGTGGTTGGATGGGTCTTTTTCGACTCCTGGGAGGGCCAAAAAACGACGACCATCACGAGGATTCTGGCCCCGAGGGGGGGGGAGCTTGGCGCCTGAACTCGTCGTTGAAGTAAAAAACATTGATGTTACTACGGTTTTGGCCCCATTTTGGCCTTCTGAGGGGGCCGCGTTCCTCTTCCTTCTTAGCAAAATCATTGATTTTATAAAAGGTGTTGGGCTGATTTTGTCCTTCTCAGGGGTCAGCGCTTATTCGCGTTTCTGAGGAGGTCGCAAGAGACCCCAAGATAGCCCCGATAGGCCCCCAGGAGGCTCCCAAGAGGCCTCCAGGAGGCACCCAAGAGGCCCCCCAGAGGCCCCTAGAGGTCCCCTCGAGGCTCCCAAGAGGCCCCCAAGAAACCCCAAGAGGCTCCAAGAGGCCCCCAAGAGGCCCCCAAGAAGCCCCCCAGACGCCCCAAGAGCTCCAAGAGGCCCCCAACAGGCCCAACGAGGAGCCCGAACGACTCACACCAGGACGACAGACCCCAACGACTCACACCACGAGGAGCCCGAACGAGTCACACCACAAGGAAGGGCCCGAACGCCTCACACCAAGACGAGGCGCCCGAACGACTCACACCACGAGGAGCCCGAACGACTCACACCACGACGCGGGCCCCGAACGACTCACACCACGAGGAGCCCGAACGAGTTACACCAGGAGGAGGGGACCGAACGACTCACACACAAGGAGGGGACTCACACCACGAGGAGCCCGAACGACGTACACACAATGAGGGGCCCGAAGGAGTTACACAAGGAAGGACGAGGGGCCCCAACGACTCATACCACGAAGAGCTGGAACGACTCACATATCTGCAACGCACACAGACGCGAACACTCGCATTATCTCTGGCGTGCCTGCATGTCCTCGAGCGATAGCCGCCACAACGCTGCTACAACGAGGGCGGGGCCAATGGGGCAAGGAGTGAAACATGCATCATAACAACAAGTGGCCAATTTAATATACTCTATGGGGCCACTTGGGGAAGGAGTGCAATATGCATCACAACAACACGTGGCCGATATAATCTACTTTATGCTTCGGCCCCATATCGGCGTTCGGAGGGAACAGCGTTTCTCTGCCTTCATGAAACAAACATTGATTGTACGAAAATCTTGGGTTATCCTGTCCTTCTCCGGGGGCATCGCCCGTTCGCGCTTCGAAGGATCTCTCGAGGCTCCAAGCTGGCCCCAAAGGCCCCCAGGAGGCTCCACAGAGGCTTCCAAGATGCCCCCAAGAACCTCCCAAGAGGACCCCAGAGGCTCCCAAGAGGTCCCCAAGAGGCTCCAGGACGCCCCAGGAGGCTCCCAAGAGGGCCTCCAGAGGTCCCCACGAGGCCCTAAGGAAGCCTCACAGGCCTCGAGGAGGCACCCAAGAGGGCCCCACGAGGAAGCCGAACGACTCAACCCAGGACGAGGGGCCCCAGCGACGCACACCAGGACGAGCGGCCCGAACGACTCACACCACGACAAGCCCGAACGACTCACACGCAAGGAGGCGCCCCAACGACGCACACCAAGATGAGGAACCCGAACCACTTCCACCACGAGGAGCCCGAACGACTCACACACAAGCAGGGGCCCGAACGACGCACACCAGGACGAGGGTCCCCAACGACTCACACCACGAGGAGCCCGAACGACTCACAAACAATGAGGGGCCCGAGGCACTCACACAAGGAAGGACGAGGCCCCCAAGAGGCCCCCAAGAGAAGGAGGCGCCCCAACGACTCACACCAGGACGAGGGGCCCGAACGACTCCCACCACGAGGAACTCGAACGACTCACACACAAGGAGGGGCCCGAACGACGCACACCAGGACGAGGGGCCCGAACGACTCACACCACAAGGAGCCCCAACGACTCACATACAATGCGGGGCCCGAACCACTCACCCCAGGACGAGGGGCCCCAACGACTAACACCACGAGGAGCCCGAACAACTTACACACAAGGAGGGGCCCGAGCGACGCACACCAGGACGAGCGGTCCGAACGACTCACACCACGAGGAGCCCGAACGACTCACACGCAAGGAGGCGCCCGAACGACTCACACCAGGACGAGGGGCCCGAACGACTCACACCATGAGGAGCCCGAAGGACTCACACACAAGGAGGGGCCCGAACGACGCACACCACGAGGAGCCCGAACGACTCACATACAATGCGGGGCCCGAACCACTCACCCCAGGACGAGGGGCCCCAACGACTCACACCACGAGGAGCCCGAACAACTTACACACAAGGAGGGGCCCGAGCGACGCACACCAGGACGAGCGGTCCGAACGACTCACACCACGAGGAGCCCGAACGACTCACACGCAAGGAGGCGCCCGAACGACTCACACACAAGGAGGCGGGAGGAAGGAGGAACATGGGAGATACGCGAGACCAAGAGGACACACGCCTGAAAAACACGACTGTCGGCATGTTTCGCAAGAGTTGCTGCTGTGAGATGGGCTGGTGGGGATACGCGAAGCGTAAAGAATTAAAAGCACTTGTGCGCCCCGTGTTTGGAAGTAGCCTGCCATGTGCTCCAACCAAGTCCGGAATTCGCGTGCTTGGAATAACAAGTGTTCTGGGAACGACGCGAGGGCCGAATCTGGAATAGGCGATCACACGAGGCACGAAGGATAACTAAATGACAGGGGAAAAGGATGGACGAGGGGGATCATTCATTCGGTGGGAGGAGGAGGTGGGGGATGGCGGCCAAGGCTTCTGCTTGAGAGGACGGATGGAAGCGCGAAGCCAATCGGGTCGTTCCTCGACAAATCGCTTTCACAAAACATATTGAAACTATTTCCCAAATTCTCAACTGAAACGTGCCAACCTGCGTGGGGCGGTATGCGAATTCAACTCTGACACCACCGCCCGCCCCGAATCTTACCTCTCGCGTTGACGCTGGTTTCGCGCCGCGTGCAACGCGGACGGATTATGCACTTTTCTTGGCGAATCACTTTGTCGCGCGCGCGCGCGTCCTCCCCCCCCCGCGCGAACCAACGGCGCGCGCGCTTCTCGCGCGTCGCCCGAAACGAAGACGCGCGCGATGGCATTGGCGCGCGCGCGCATCTCCAGCGCGCACCAATCCTGCCGCGCGCTATGCGCGCGCGCGAAGGCACCAATGCGCGCGCGGAATCCCAACGCGGGCGCGAGCCTTCTGAGCGTGCGGAACGCGCGACGACAAACTGCTCGACCAGACTGTATGACAACTTTGTCCCGTGGTCACCATTTTCTATGTTATTGCCATGCGACTGGCGCTTCCGCAATTTTTGTTGCAGGATTTTGTCGCGGCTCTGCGCCGCCAGTAGATTTGTCGTCCGCCTCTGTCTTTGTCGTTGGCAGTTTTTTGCTGTCCTTTGAATGTGTCGTCGGCCTCCCGGTTCTTTTGCCATCGGCCCTTCTTGTTTGTCGTCGGCCCCTTTCTTGGTGCTCTTCACGGTATCGGGCCCTTCAACATGTTTGGGGTCATTCGCGGCCAAATCCATTTTCCATGCCTTTCACGTTTCCCGCGACCCCGTCAGCCCATCCAGAAGCAGTGGCCGAACATTGCTCATGGAATCCTCAAGTCTTGGCCCTCGCCCGCTCCTCCGAGCGACCGCGCAGAACCGCGGAGGGAAGCTCAGCGCTGACAGCATTTAAAACGCGTGACGGGCGACGCGGCTTCATTCGTTAGAACAGATGGCTGTGATCAGTATGTTTTGTCTGTCGTCGTCTTGTGATCCGATGGACATGGGGCCTTGGACAGTCTTGCAATGGGGGAAAAAACGCAAACATAAACAGGCTGTGGGCACATGCGAGGCAGATATACCGCTGCGGTCGCCCGGGTACCTCGGGCCCCAAGCGGCCGTTCGGGACGATTCTAGCACCCCTCAGAATGTTCTCAGAAAAGGCGCAGCTGATTTCATCCACTCTGGGCGCCGAGAGACTTTGCAAACTCCCGAAGACCTTCAAAATCCACTCTCCTCCTCCCTCTCGTCCTCCCTCTCCCCCCACCCCCTCCAAGCCCCGCCCCTGGGGGGACCCAAATCAATCATAATCCAGCCGTGGCGGCAGAAGCTCCCCAGGACAAGCAGCGGCAACGGCATCCCAGGACGAGCAGCGGTATCCGTATCTTCTTCTCCCCAGACACCCGACGTCATGATTTTAATAAAAAATTGACTCCTGGAGGTCTGATCTCGACCCATTACCAGGGCTGGCTCTTCGTCCTGGATTGTTCATTGATGGTCCCGGGGCCAGACGAGAGCCCCTAGAGGCCGAAAACAACTCAACACCTTCCGTCGATCACGACTGCGACGGCGACGGCGACGGCGCCGCCTCGCCTGCGCGCCGAGCTGCCTGATGGCCGAGTGAGCCGCCCAGGGGGCCGAATAGTGGACGACCGCGCGGGCGGTGGCGTTCTGCCGCTTCGGTATGAACCTTCCAGGGGTTCTCGTCGTCGTCGTCGTCGGCGGCGGCGGCGTCGTCGATGCCTTTCTGCCGGTTCGGCATGACCCTTCGCAAAGGCGGCGGCGGTCGCCGCAGGCGCAGAGCGGGCGGCGGTCGCACCGGCGGGCGCGGCGGCAACGGTGTCAAAGGCCTCCCAGATAGGGTCGGAGTACATGGGGTCGGACGGCCCCGGGGCTCGACAGAGGCCCCCTTGAGGCCGAAAAAGGCACAAAACCTCCCCGACCCCAGAACCTCGGACCTTGCCACCTCCGCGTGCTCGCCCAATCTGGTGCTGGGCCATCTCAGACCCCCAACCGATTTCAAATCTAGGTTGGAGGAGGAGGATGTGGTGGAAGGACGTGGTGGTGGGAGGAGGAGGAGGAGGAGGAGGAGGAGGAGGAGGAGGAGAAGGAGGAGGAAGGGGCCAAAGCGCATCCCAGGGACGAAGACTGGGCCCACAGGCGCGCGTTGGCCTGGCTGGTCGTATCCTGCACCACTTGGCGCTCTCTGATTTTCCTGAAGTGGTCCGTCCGAAGGTGATCAGAGTCCGCTTTGACCCGCTCGATCTGGTTTCGGACCCTCGGGGCCACCAAGTCAAGCTTGCTCGCGGTCGATGGGGGTGCGTGTCCTGCGGTCGATCGGCCTTGTATCGCTGCAAGATTGTTTCTCGGCCTTGCCCAGGAGTCCCAGGCATTTTGTCTCGTGCCCACCCCTCCCATCGGTTGTGGTGGGCGGGGGGGGGCACGGAAGGAGCTGTTTGGTGCTCGCGCTGCGGTGCGCATGGGGCCCAACAGGTGCTCAAGATCGGCAGGCCCTGTGTCCTTCCCACGGACTGGGGCCGCCGCTCATTGAAAGCGCTGCGAAAGGGCAAAGACCCTTCCTCGGGATCCCTCCTCCCTCGCCCCATTTCCTGTCTCCCCTCCGCGGGAGCCTCGGGCGCTGGGTTGGGTGGAGGGCCTCCGCTCGGTCCTCTCTGAGGCCGAGGATCCCGAGGAATTTGATCGCGCGCTGGGGGTGGGCGCTCCTCTTGCGCCCCCTCTGGCTGAACTCGTGAGACTTGCTGGGGCGGTTCCTTCTGGGGCCAGCCCCAAAGGAAGGGAAAGGGAAAGAAGGAGGAGGAGGAGGAGGAGGAGGAGGAGGAGGAGGAGGAGGAAGGGGAAGAAAAGGAGGAGGAGGAGGAAGGGGATGAGGGGGAGGAGGAGGAAGGGGAGGAGGAGGAGGAAGAGGAGGAGGAGGATGGAGGAGGAGCAGGAGGAGGAGCAGGCGGAGGAGAAGGAGGAGGAGGAGGAAGAGGAGGAAGAGGAGAAATGCGAGCATGACTGACAACGAAAGTCTAAGGAGAGAAAAGGCCCACGCAAGCCTCAGGACGAGAGGTAACGGTCCCCCATCGTGCGACATATAACAACCAGACGCTGAAATCGCCCATGCAGTGGGCTAACGGGTCCCCACCGTCAGAGGAAACCGAGAACTGAACCTGGGTCACGCCGTCTATGAAGACCAGCGCACCGTTGAGGTAGAACATGTACCCGATGAGCCAGCCCACGTGGTGCTCGAAACCGAAGCCGCTCGCACGCCCAGCTCGTGGTTGTTAAGGTCCATGTCGACGTAGCCCTGCAAGGCGGCGTATGCCTCGTCAAGGGCCCGCTCTGCAGCCACCCATTGGCCCCTGAGGTCATCGACCGTCGCTGCCAGCTCCACGGCCCGATCTGCAGCGATGGTGATGGGGTCGGCCACATTGTTCTTGCCATCGTTGTCCTCGTCGGCCTGCTTCTGGGTGTCGGCGCCGACCGCCTCGGCTGCGACCGCGTGCGTAGTCTCCTTAGGCTACTTCGCCGTCTGCTTCTGGAACACATTCGCAAATCACTCATCCAAGCACTCCTGGAGCTTCGCCTGGACGCCGAGGTCGAAGCCCTTTTCCGCGGGGTGTGACTCGCCCGCCAGCGGCCTCATCTCGTCGGCACCCTAGGACAGCTCGCCGGCGGTCGGTGCCGGAGGCGTCGTGGACCCAGCCCCACGGCGGTCCCTCTTGCGCGGGCCTCGGGCCTTGCGCTTGGCCTCCAATGGCGAAGCTAGCGCAGCCTCAGCGCCTGTGCCGAAGTCGTTGTGCAGGGCACAGTTTCGGAGGGCCCTGCGCGCTCCCGAAGCTCGAGCCTCTGTGCCCTCGTGCCCAGCAGCCACCTGGAGTCGGAGGTGCGGGCGCGCCAACGCCTCGCGCATCGAAGCCGCCTTCTCTAGAAGATGGACCAAACACATAAACATAAGCTTTTGGCGCTCCGCGCGGAGCGCCAAAAAAATATATGTTTATGTGTTTGGCCCAACCCAGCGAGGCAGAAGACACCGCTCACCAGAACTACGCGCGAAAGACTGGCGGCTTACCAGAGGCAAGGTCGATTCTGCGAGCGTGCGTTCGAGCAGACTGGACATCAGGAAACAGAAGACTCTCTCTCTCTCTCTGCCGGCAGAGCTGCACACTAAAGGATACTCGAACAAGCCTGACCTTAGACACAGTCTGACTGATGGCCCCACCTGCAATAGGGTGGGCACGGGCGGGTGAGCCGCTAAAAGGCAGCGGAACGGACAAGCGTTGCTGCAAGCGGTGGGCTACACTGCAGGGGGCCAAACAAGGTCAGAAACAAATCGTGGTCCAACCCAACGAGGCAGACGACACCGCTCACCAGAACTACACGCGAAAGACTGGCATCGTTTTCGCTCCAAAGATTAGAGGCAAGGTCGATTCTGCGAGCGCGCATGCAAGCAGACTGGACATCAGGAAACAGAAGACTCTCTCTGCCGGCAGAGCTGCACACTAAAGGATACTCGAACAAGCCTGACCTTAGACACGATCTAACTGATGGCCCCACCCATATCCCATATGATGGACTGTAAGGAGGGTGGGCGGGAGCCGAAAAAGACTGAGGCCAAACAAATCAGCGAAGCAGGCTGGCCTTGAGCTGCGCCAGCATCGCTGGGAAAGACTGCAGCAGAGGCCGCGGCACCTTTTCCAGCTGCCGCATCAAGGTGCCCGCCTTCTCGTAGCGCCTGGCCGAGGACGCTGCTCGCCACATCCCGCGCTTCTGAATCTCAGGGATGCTGCGGAGGCTTTTGGCTGCATCAACCGAGGGACCTCCATGGCGAGCGCACTGAGGCGTGATGTCCAGCCTGTTCAGGTGGAGGGCGTCGACGGTGGCGTTGAAGTGCCTTTCGTACTCGGACAGCTTCAGCGGGAAGAGCGGCCGGCGGGGCGGCCGCTGCGACTTCAGCCTGACGAGGAGCTCTGCGACGAAGCTGCGGCCCGCCTTGAAGCTCGCCTGGTCCCCGAAGATCAGCGTCATGTCGTGATCGTTGTTCTTGAGCCGCGGGCGCGGCTCGCCCCCGTCGTCGGCGTGGGGCGGGGCGATGGTGACCGTCACGCGAGGGTATCCCCTGCCCACCACGGCCGCGGCGACTTGTACGTCGGCGCCAGTGACCCTCAGCACGCTGGACCTCGAGGTAGCCGTCGAAGCTGGTGACGAGGGCCCCCGCGGCTGCCTCGCCGAGAGGCCCCTGCTGGAGCGTGCGGTCCGCGATCAGCACGGCGGATTCCCACGGGAGCGGATCGCGAACCCGCTCGGGCCCCGCCTGGCTCCAGCCTGCCAGCACATCGCGGCCGACCGGGAGTGTGGAGGGCGTCCTCCGCCGGTAGCGGAGGCAGTGGATGGTCCCGTGCACCGCGTGGCGGCCCTTGGCCAGCGCCCTCCCCTCGAAGTAGAGGGCGTCGAGGTAGTCCTCCATCGCGCGGTCGACGGAGTCGTGGGATGTCAGCGGGCGGCCCTGCTTCTGGGCCCAGACCTTGAACTTCGTGAAGGAGTCGAGGTACCTGGCGGCCGTGATCGGGCGGACCCGACGTGTCTGGAGGTGAGGCCGCGGCATCTGCGCAGCGCGGGCGCGCCTCCTGGCCGCCAGGACGTCGGGCTCGACGTAGTTCCGCCGCCTGCGAGTCCCCGCGACCGGCTCGGGCCTGAGACCAGCGGGCCCCCCACTGCGAAGCGCCGGGAGGCCACTCGGGCGGCGAACCCCGCGGGCAGCGCGGCCAGGGCCGGACGAGGCTGCCGAGGGGCCGCCCGGTAGCGGCCGCTAGGTGAGTCTCCCAGTCGTCGGAGACCGGTGGATCGCCACGCCGCCGCCAGGCCGAGGAGGGCGCAACGGCGCCCAGCGCCTTGGCCCAGGCGCGGCACAAGGCCGGTGGGTACGCCCCGGCCAGTGGTCTTCCACCGGCTCTGGATTGAACCACGGATGGCAACGGAGACCTTGCCTTCGAGGATTTCGTGTCGGTGGCCCCCAGGACATACACGACCGATAACAGCTAGATCACGGTGGTCCGAAACGATGAGCGTAGGCTTCTTAGACGTGCAGCCATACTGACAGTAGTGAACGAGAATCTGGACAGAGTCGGTGGAGGAGATGGATGATGCCATGGGGCCCCCACGAGAACAGCTTTGACGACGCGGGGTTCTCGAGGGACCAGTGAACGCCGCAGTTCCGGCGGAGCTTCAGGTGGTCCAGAGTGCGGCGGGCCAGCCTGAGGCCCTGACGACAGTGTTGATGACGAGCAGCCCCTGCAGCCTGGCTCCAGGCAGTACACGGAGTCCCAAAATGCACCCACCAGAGCTGACGGGCCCCGGATCCAGGAGGCCAGGACGTTGAAGACCCGGTAGTCCAGGACGTCGAAGTGCGGCCCGTTCGCCAGGTCGACCGGGGTCGTGACCAGGAGCCCCAGGTCCCTGAGGGCGGCGGTGAGCCGGGCGCAGCCCGCGAAGATCTCACAGAAAGCCTTCTGACGAGGGAGCCCCCGAGGATCAGACGATGAGTGGGGGACCTCCTTCCTTTCTGCCTCCCTCGGAGCAGGCGCGGCGACGAACTTCGCCGTCTCTGAGACATACCTCCGGGGCGGCCCCCGGGATGGGAACGTGTTCGGGCAGCGGCGCTGGCGCCTGGGCTCAGACAGGCCGCCCGCGGGGCCCACAGCCAGTGGCACCGCCCTCAGGATCTCGGCGGGAAGCGGAGGTCCCAGGCTGGCCTCCAAGACGCCCAAGATGGCCTCCAAGACGGCCCTGGAGCATCCCAAGAAGGCTCCAAATCGGCCCAGAGAGGCCCCCAAGACGGCTTCCGACGGGCTAGGAACGCCCTGAGATGGGCAAAAGAGGCCCCCAAAGGCCCTCAAGAGGCCCAAGGAGGCCCCCAAGATGCCTCCAAGAGGCTCCGAGGAAGCTCCCAGGAGGCTCCAAGAGTGCCCCCAGAGGCTCCCAATATGCCTCCTCCTCCTCCTCCTCCTCCTCCTCCTCCTCCTCCCCTCCTCCTCCTCCTCCGCCTCATCCTGCTGATCTTCGCCGCCATCCTCCCCCAAGTGTTCCCCGAAGGGTTTCCACAACGGCTGGGGGAACACATGGTCAGATAGCTTGCCAGAGCTCTTGCCACAGCGCTCGGCCACATTTGCGATTCCAAAAAGCAGGGGGCGGCGGTGATTCGCAGGAGACGTCTTCGATGGGCGAAAGGAGCCCCTTGAGCTCAGGGCGTTGCTATTTCACTGGGAGTTTTCGCCCGGTGCCTGGTCTCTGGACCATCGAAGATCGTTCCAGCCCGAAACATGCAGCAGAAAGATGGGGTCTAGGGCTCCGATCTTGTTTTTCGCGGTGTTGCAAGGTTTTCGCAACATCGGATCTCAGGGCCAGGGAGTCGAGGACAGCAGAGGGGGAGGAGGCAGGGAGGAAGAGAATGGGAGAGGCGGATGAGAGACGTGGTGCGAGGCTTCATTAAAACAGGCCACGGGAACCTGATTTTCAGAATGGTCGACACGTCCACACGAGCGCTCTGGTGCAGCCTCCGCAGATCGTCCTCTTCCCAGTGGGCGGGGACATCCTGCACAGCAGGGGAGCGCACCCGCTGCTGCTGCTGCTGCTGCTCTTGATCCCGCCCCGTCGTTCATCCTTCTCTCCATGCCTTCCTCCCTGCCTTCTCCTTCTTATCATCCTCCTCCTCCTTCTTCCTCACTCCTCCATGACCCCTGCTCCTCTTAAGGCTGCACCCATCCCACCAACCTTTTTTATCAACTGAAGGGTGGTCCTATATACGGTCGCGGTCCGCCATTTGTGATTTCGGGCCTTGCGAAACCGAAGGCGTTGGTTGACACGCTGAGCAGCGCAGGGGCGTTCACGCTAAGTAGGGTCGGGTGAATTTAGCGCTCGAAGGCGCGAAATAAAACACTTTGTTTTGTTTACGTCGGCGGCTAGGCAGAGTAACTGCGCTGACGGAAGAGCAAAAACGCGAAGTAAAACACGCAACCGCTACCACCACCCCTGTGGGCGTAGGTGGTCTAGGGAGCTTTCTCTTCCAACCCTTCGGAGAGGGGTTTACGTACCCCTCCCCCTACGTACCCCCATTCCCGTGGACCTGGACGATGAGTTTCGCGACTGGTTGGAACGTCCAAGATAGCCCAAGACGGCCCCAAGAGGGTCCTGGAGAGCCCAAGATGGCCTCCAAAATGTCACCAGACACAGTGCGGGCGCGGCCGCAAGAAACCCTCGCAAAAATCCCAACCCTGAAAAACCCGCGCGCGAGGTGCACCTGAGGAGAAACCCGGAGCACCCTGAACGCAGCAGCTTCTGCAACGGCTGCGGGAAGTCACCGCGCAGCGCGCGGAGCGAAGATACCCAGGGTACCCTCACGCAAAGGATATGGTTTCTTACTGCGCACCCCCACTGTACTCCAAGATGGCTCAGGATGGCTTCCAAGATGCGCAAGACCGCTCCAAGACGATTCTAAGTGTGCCTGGGGTCCCCTTGGACGCGCCCAAGACGCCCAAATCCCTCAAACACCTGGTAAGGAAAATCAGTGAGTTTAGCCTTCTCTAATTTTCGTTTCCGATAACCTTCCGAAGCCTTGAGATGGACCCAAGAGGGTCCAAGAGAGCCCCAAGAGGAGTCCAAGATGGCCCCAAGATGGCCCCGAAAGCGTCCAAGAGGGCTCCAAGAGGACCCCAAGAGGCGATTTTGAGGGCTCCAGAAGGGCGAGGGTAATTGGGGACCCCCCTTCTTCGATCGATATCCACCAAGATGAAGAGACGGTCCCAACCGGCGCCCAGTTTGCCCCCAAGAGGCGCCCAAAAGGACCCCAAGCAGCCCCAAGAGGCCACCCAAGGCACCCAAGATGCCCCAAGGGCCCCCCCCGGACCGCCAAGAGACTCTCAAGACCTCCCAAGAGACCTCCAAGAAACCCCCAAGAGATATCCCAAGAGACTCCGAAAGGTATCCAAGAGGTTTCTGGCCCTTTTGATCGCCCTCCTCCTCCTCCTCCTCCTTGCTCCTCCTTGCTCCTCCTTGCTCCTCCTTGCTCCTCCTTGCTCCTCCTCCCCCTCCCCCTCCCCCTCCCCCTCCCCCTCCTCCTCCTCCTCCTCCTCCTCCTCCTCCTCCTCCTCCTCCTCCTACCTCGTCATCCTATTCATAATCCTTCTCCCCACTCCCTCATCCATCCATCCATCCAGCCTCCTTCTCCTTCTCCTCTTCCTTCTCCTTCGCATGGTTCGGTTGTCCCCCTCTTTGCTCCTACGTACACTTCCCTGATCACACCAACTCGCCTGGGGGTCGTTTCTGGATGGGCCGGTGGGGATTTTTACTGGTACGCGGGCGCGCGAAGACGAGTCGAACGCCGTGCAAGCTGGGGCGGGCCGTGCCGAAGCAGAGGGGAAAACAGCGAAGCGAGCGGCGCCCGGTTCAGGGCGGGACAGGGCTCAACGCAGGCAAAATGGCGCGGGAGGCCTAACAGAGCAGCATCAGAATCCCGAGTGCCCCCCAGACACGCTGAGTGCGGGGGGCGGTGGGCGGGCGGGGCAACAGCTGACGGTGGGCGGGCGGCGACGGGAAGGGGAGGCTCCTCGTGGCCTGGCCCCAAAGCAAACGGCCCGAGAGGCCCCAAGAGTGCCCTCATACGGCCCAAGATGGCCCCAAACTGGACCAAGAGGCACCCAAAACGGCCCGACAGGGCCACAAAGGAGGCCCAATATAGAGGCACCAGAGGGGGAACGCGAACCGACATTTCGAACTCATCGCCCACACATGGGCCCCTCGACGGCCAGCAGGCCCCCAAGAGGCCCCCCACAAGCTTCAGGAGACCCCAAGAAGCCCAAACCACGCCCAGAGGTCCGCAAGAGACCCCCGAGAAGCCCCCAAGATACCCCAAAACCGAATCTACGAGACTTCCAAGAGGCCTTCCAAGAGACCCCCAAAGGCATCCCAGAGAACTCTGACCTACACTCCAGGCATGGTGGCGGGATGGGCGGAAGGCCACTCTAGAGAGAGAGGGAGATCGTGAGAAAAGAGAGGGAAAGACACAAACACAAACACACATATACACACACGCACACACACACACGACACGCACGCACGCACGCACGCACGCACGCACGCACGCACGCACACACACACACAAACACACACACACACGCACGCACGCACGCACGCACGCACGCACGCACGCCCGCACGCACGCACGCACGCACGCCCGCACACACATACATACACAAACGCGCACATAAACACACACACACACACCTCTAAGCTGGCGGCGCAGAGGGTCCTCAAGCGCGGGCAGCAGGTGGGAGTGCGCATTGCGATGATGCATCGTCGAAAGCGCAGTGAACGAAACGACAGTCACTGACGTACAGGGATGGGTGGTCGGTGGGAAGGACTGTAACCCAGAGAGCGCGCAGCGGCCAGAACATCGAGGAGAACGTCAGAGCGAGCTCGACTCAAGGTGAACTGAAGCGCGGGCAGTCTGGCTCTACTCGCCCATGAATCATCGAGCTAGCAGTAGACAGCGGAAAGTGCATGTCAGGCTGCCAGACCAGCCGATTGGTGGGGTGACGCGACGCGGCCGAGAGGAAAAAGAGGAAGCAAAGAAGAAAAACAGCGCGGAACACACGCAGGATAAGGAGCGAGCTGAACAGACAAAGCAACATGCAGGAGGACAGACAGACAGTTGATTGTGCCCCTGTAGTGGCACCGATGAGCGGAGAAAGCGGTCACACAGCCACCTGCACGCATGCACGCACACACAAATACCTGTATTCATAGAGAGAGAGAGAGAGAGAGAGAAAAAAAAAAAAGAGAGAAAGAGAGAAAGAGAGAGAGAGAGAGAGAAAAAGAGAGAGAGAGAGAAGAAAGAGAGAGAGAGAGACAGAGAGAGAGAGAGAGACAGGGAGAGAAAGAGAGAGAGAGAAGAGAGGGAGGGAGGTAGAGAGAGAGAGAGAGGGAAAGAGAGAGAGAGAGAGAGAAAGACAGAGAGGGGGGAAATATCTATGTATCTATCGATCTATCTATGTATACACATATTTATACATAGAAAGAGAGAGAGAGGGAGAGAGAGACAGAGAGACAGAGAGAGAGAGAGAGAAACAACAAAAAGTCTGAGAGAGAGGAAGAGAAAGAGAACGAGACATAGAGGAAGGGAGAGAGTTCGGAATAGAGAGAGAGAGGGAGAGGGAGAGAGAGAGAGGGAGAGATGGAAATGAGAAAGATAGAGAGAGATAAAGGGAAAGAGTAAGAGAAAGATAATAAGGGAGAGAGAGAGAGAGAGGCATAGAGAAAAAGAGAAAGGGAAAGCGAGGGATGGGGGCGAGGCGCTCCTTCACGAAGATCTCCGCGCCCGCGTATGGTTCCGCGGGGCCCCAGGCCTCATGGCGGCCCAGGCACAACGGGAGAGGCGCAAGGGAGGGGGGGGCAACCTTCTGAGACAGCAGCGTAGCGCTCCCGGCCTCCAAGAAGGCATCCAGGCCCTTCTAAAAGGCTAGCGGCATCGGCAAATGGTTTTCGGATCATAACTCGGCTCTCCGGCAGCCGTTTATCCGGGCACCCCTGGGACGCTTTCGGAAAGCCGCAGCCGCTGAAGGCACCCCGAGGCTGGAAAGCCGCCGAGAATCATCGAAACGGCCGCGAAAACCTCAAACTTCGAACCCCTTCCTTCCGAGAGGCTCCCCCGCCCTCTTAGAAGACCTTCGTCCCCCGATTCTCTCCGCCGAGGCCTCCTCCTCCTCCTCCTCCTCCTCCTCCTCCTCCTCCTCCTCCCCCTCTCCCTCCCCCTCCATTCCTTGTCCTTATGGCTAACTCCTCCGTGTCACACCCTGAGGCCAGTTTTTAGGGCGGGCCGGGCGTTTCGCCTGAGACGTCCTCACCATTTAAGACTCTGAAGCTTAACAAGTGACAACAGCTTCACAGATGGAGGGCGGGTGGTTTTCAAGATGTAGCTCCCGCCTTAGCGCCGCGCACATTCGTTTTAACAAATTGCAAGAGCTTCACGGATTGAGGGCGGGTGGTTTTCAAACTGTGGCTCTCGCCTTAGCGCCGCGCACATTCGTTTTCAATAATTGCAAAGTGTTTCACGGATTGAGGGAGGGTCGTTTTCAAAATGTGGCTCTCGCCTGGCGCCGCGCACATTCGTTTTCAAAAATTGCAGGGGTTCCACGGATTGAGGCCAGGTCGTTTTCAACATGTGGCTCTCGCCTCAGCGCCGCGCACATTCGTTTTCAAAATCTGCAAGAGTTCCACGGATTGAGAGCGGTTCCTTTTCAAAATGTGGCTCTCGCTTTCGCGCCGCGCACATTCGCTTTCAACATTTGCAAGAGTTTCTCTGATTCCCATGATCAGCGTACCAGAAATTGTGTTCTGGAGAGATTCGGGATTATGCGGGTGCAACAGTTAAGTTGATTCGCGGTGCTGAAATCCCAAAAATGGCGCTCTGGCATAATTCCGAATCGTCAAGTCACAGCAGTCAGATTGATACGTGGTGTTGAAGTCCCGAGAACAATGTTTTGGCATGCTTCAGGATCTTCAAACGGTTGTCTTCCAACGAGGCAGGTCCCTCAATGGAAATGAACAGTTGTGGGGGCCTGTGAAGAGGGAGCTTGGAGGGAGGGTTAATTCCAACATCGTTGATGACTCTTGTCCTCCTCCTCCTCCTCCTCCTCCCTCCCTCCCTCCCTCCCTCCCTCCCTCCTCCCTCCCTCCCTCCCTCCCTCCCTCCTTCCGAGAGGCTCTCGGCCGAGGCCTCGTCGACGCGGGCCCAGGCCTGGCCGATCGAGGCGTCCGCGGCGTGGCCGCCGTCGGGCGGCCCGTCGGGCGGCCTGGCCAGCGCGGGCTGCGGCTGCGCGTCGGGGGCGCCGCAGCGCCAGGCCTCGGCGGCGCCCCAGGCCTGGAGGGTTTTTGAATCTCTTGGTCGCGTCGTCGTTGTCGTCGTCGCTTCAGCGGCGCCCCAGGCCTGCAGGGCTTCTCTGTCTCTCGCCCGTCCGCCACCATCATCATCATCATCATCATGATCATGATCATCAACATCAGCATCAGCATCATCATCGTCCTAATCATCGTCATCATCATCATCATCATCATCATCCTCATCCTCATCCTCATCCTCATCCTCATCCTCATCAGCATCAGCATCATCATCATCGTCAATAACAATATTATCAACACCACCAGCAACAGCAACAGCACCAGCACCAGCATCAGCTCAGCATCAGCATCATCAGCAGTATCATCATCATCATCAGCATCATCAGCATCAGCACCGACACAATAATAATACTAATTATCATCATCATCATCTCCATGAGCATCACCATCACCATCATCAGCATCAGCATCAGCATCATCAGCATCATCAGCATCATCTGCATCATCAGCATCATCACCACTACCATCATTATCATCACCACCATCACCACCACTAGTACCAACATCAGCATCAATACCATCATCATCACCAGCATGTTCATCATTCGTAGTAGTAACATCACCATCATCGTCATCATCAGCATCACCATCAGCACCATCATCATCGTCATCCTCATCATCAGCATCATCATCAACACCATCAGCACCATCAACATAATCATCATCAACAGCATCAGCATCATCATCGGTATCGACATGATCATCATCACCATACTGTTACTAACCAATAGCATTGCCATAATCCTTATCAGTATTATTATCATTTCTTCATCATCACCATCATCATCATCATCCTCACCATCAACATCATCACCATTAGCACCGCATAATCTTCACTATCATCAGCAACATAATCAGCATCATCAGCATCACAATCACCACAATCATCATAATCATCAGAATCATCACTACCAGCACCAGCATGAGCATCAGCACCATCATCAGCAGCATCAGCATCACCACCATCATCATTACACTTAGTATCATTAGCATCATCACCATCATAATCATCATCACCAGCAACATTCTTCTATTATCATTATCATCACCAGCATCATCATCATTCTCATCATCATCCTCATCATCATCATCCTCATCACCACTGTCATCATTTTCAGCACCACCATCATCATCACTTCCACCAACAGCATCAACGTCATCATCATCATCATCATCATCGTCATCAGTGTCATCATGGCCAGCATTGTCATCATCATCAGCATCATTCTCATCATCGTCATCGTCGTCATCGACATCGTCATCACCATCACCATCATCATCACAATCGCCATACTATCACTGTTCTCGTTGCCAGTATCATCATCATTACCACTACCACTACCACCACCTCATCATTATCACCACAGTCATCATCAAGATCATAAGCATCACCATCATCACCACCACCATCACCATCATCGTCATCATCCTCATCATCGTCCTAATCAGTCATCATCATCATCATCATCATCATCATCATCATCAACATCAACATCAACATCAACATCAACATCATCAACATCATCATCATCATCATCATCATCACCATTATCATCATCATCGTCCTCATCATCAACAACTCCCTCCGTGCCCCCTCTTTCCTGCCCTCCTGCGCCGCGCTCCCCTCCAGCCTGCCCCACCCCGAGGCAGCGGACCCGTGCTGCCCCCGCACGCGTGCGGGCGCTTGGCCCGCGCAACATGCACTGGTCGCGTGCCTGCTGGACACACGGCCCCCTTCTGCTGCCCGCGTCGCCGCCGCGCTCGGACCTCCAAAGTCTCAAGAAACTCGGCGCGGAGGCCGTTCGCCATTTTCTCGGGGGGTGAGAACGACGACGAGGAGAAAGGAGGACGACGAGGGGGTGAAGGACGACGTGTAGACAAGCGCGTTCCACTACCCGCAAAGTAGCTACTCGCAAATGGCCTGGATCCGCCGCGGGGGACCCAAGACAAATTACATCGACGCAGACATGTGTGTTTCGGACGTTTGCGAGTAGGCACTTTGCGAGTAGTGGAACGCGCGCGGTGAAGGTGGTGGAAGGGCGGGGCGTGGAGGTGCCAGAGGGGGAGGGGCGTAGGGAGGAGACGATTGGGAGACGATTGCCGACCACGCTGCAGATCTCGCCGATGGGCAGCAGGCGAAAACAGAGACAGAAACTGAGCGCAGGAGGGAGGCCGAGGACGAAAACGACGCAGACAGCGACGGGCGGCGACGACGAACGACGGATGACGGGCGACGCACGATGACGGACGACGGGCGACGACGATGAACGACGACGACGACGATGAACAACGACGACGGCAACTGGAGGAACAGGAAGGCACCGATACCGCTACTCCCCGGACCTCCCCAGGCGTGCGTTCTGACCACACTCCGAGCCGAATCCAACCGTGGCGACGATGGAAGGACAACACTATCGGTCGCTTTTCCTTCTGGACGACGACGTTGACGATCATGGCGGACCCGGAGATCCGACGGCGCGACAAACATCAAAATATGGGAAACGATCGCGACTGGAGCCCTGCAAGCCATCTTTCTGCGCCACGACTCGCTCTGGATCCATCTGCGAAGGGTCCCAGGGACCGAAGCCGGGCGAAAAAACGCCCGGCCAGGATGTGCTTACGGACGTGTGATTGTTTTCGTCCCGTGCTTATGTTCGTATATTGCAGAGGCCTCCTAGATGGGGTCGGAGAAGATGGGGTCGGAGGATCGCGCCGCATCGCCGATGCATCGGCGATGTATCGGCGATGTATTGGCGATGCACTGGCGATGCATCGTCGACGTCGGGGATGCGCCGGCATCGTCGACGTGAAGCAAATCGGGCCCCACATCGAGCCGCATCGCCGATACATCGGCGATGCGGAGCGATCCTCCGACCCCATCTATTCGGACCCCATGTAATTAGGAAGCCTAGATACTGGGGGTCAGGGATCTTCTGACACGAGTCAATCCAGACTCGGGTCAGCAAGGCCTTACAGAATCCTGCAAGCTCCTGCGAGATCCTGCGCCCAGACCCGGGTCCATGCGCAGGAGCCTGCAAGACCCTGCAGGATCCTGCACCCAGGCCCGGGCCGGTGCGACCCTGGCCCTGCAGCTTCGCCCATCGCGCCCCGCGATGCGCGATGACCTTCGCGCCCCCCGCGCCCTCGCGCCGCCCCGCGCCCTCGCGCCTGGCACGGACCCCCCGCAGGGGAAGGGGGAGGGAGGAGGAGGAGGAGGAGGAGGAGGAGGACAAGGAGGAGGAGGAGGAGGAGGAGGAGGAGGAGGACAAGGAGGAGGAGGACAAGGAGGAGGAGGAGGAGGAGGAGGAGGAGGAGGAGGAGGAGGACCTCTCCCGAGGCCTCCGAGGGGGTTCTGGCCGCAGCTCCGGCCGTCACCCCTCGGGTCGCCGCAGCTCTCGTCGGCCGCGTCGGGGGGGGTCGCGCCGACCTCGGCCGGCCCCTCGTGGGGGGGGGGCCGCGGAGAGGCCCAGAGGCCTCGCGTGCGCCGGCGCCGCTGCGCACAGCGCTGGCGTCGAGGACGAGGCGCGCGTGGAGGAGACGTCGTTTCTTGGGCTCCCAGGCTTCACGCTTCGCGCTCCGCGAAGCGCGAATAGCTTCGCGCTCTCGCGCCGCCCCCCCCCCCCCAAAGGGAGAGAAGGAGGACGAGAAGGAGAGGGGGAGAAGGGAACGAGGACCGCGAAGCGCGGATAACGCCGCGCCCTCGTGGGAGCCCTTGGTAATGACAGCAGTGGTGCTACCACAACGAACGTTGATCAGGAGCGCAGGAGCTCTCCTGGCCACGGCGATCCTCGGCTTCGGCTCAGTTCCCCGGCGTGGACCCAAGGCATGGCCCGACAACCAAGAGCCCCTCCCGAGTCTGAAGCGGAACTCATTACGAAGGCCTTACGGCCAGTGCCGCCGACCCTGAAGGGAGACGACGACGACGACAACAACGGCGGCGGCGACGACGCTGACGAGGGCCAGAGTCCTCAGGGATGCTTCTCGGGGTCTCTTCGGAAGGCTCTCGGGGGCCTCTGGCGAGGAATTGTTGGGTTCTTTCGAGTCGGGGATCGAGCACAGAATTGATGTGCACCGAAAATAAACTGTTCGTCGGACCTGCGATAAACACGTAGAGTACTCTGTAGATCAACGGAGCATTCGACGTCTTCTTCGTAGACTGGATGGGGCAAAGCAATTCTATGGTCGGTCCTCTATTCGACTCTTAGGAGCCTCTTGTCTGAAGCGGTCCTTCTGTCAGTATATTGACTGAGCCCCGGACGCCAGGGACCTCAGAACATGACGAGCGGCGGGCGGCGGCGGCACGGAGCCCCTGCGCCTGGGCGGGCGGCGTCGCCCGGTGGGCCCTCCTCGCTCCTCGCTCCTCGCTCCTCGCTCCTCCTCCTCCTCCGCCTCCTACTCCTCCTCCGCCTCCTTCTCCTCCTCCTCCTCTTCCACCTCCTCCTCCTCCTCCTC